CTCTATCCCTCTCTGTAAAAAATGAATAAAAAAATTTTAAATAAATTAAAATTAAAATTAAAAATTAAAACTTCAGCCGAAACCGGTTTGGCTCAGTGGTAGAGCCTCGGCCTGCGGACTGAAAGGTCCCAGGTTCGATTCCGGTCAAGGGCATGTACCTTGGTTATGGGCACATCCCCGGTAGGGGGTGTGCAAGAGGCAGCTGGTCAATGTTTCTCTCTCATCGACATTTCTAGCTCTCTATCTCTCTCCCTTTCTCTCTGTTAAAAATCAATAAAATATATTTAAAAAAAAGAAAGTGCCTAGTAATAAACGAATATTTACTGAATGCCCATTACATACCAGTTAAACACTAAAGGCTGAGGATATAATAATGAATAAGACAGCCTCTCAATAGTTTTTTTCTCTGATGAGAGACTGACAACCAATCATGGTATTAGTTAGCAAATATCTATTTCAAGCACCAGCACAAATCTATGTTTCTAATAAATATTCAGACTCATAACTATGTTTCAAATACAATACCAGGCCTTAGGTATGCAACAGTAAATGAAACAGTCTGACCTGAAAGCGAAATAGACAATTTGTATTTATGCAACAGTGGACGCAAAACTAAACTTGGGAACCAAGAAGGGGCATCTAACCCTGATTCTTCAAAAAGTGGTAAGTATCAAGGAGATCTTGAATGCAGAGATCTTCAGGCTTTATTCTATGGATATTAAGAAGCTAATGAAGGTTACTTAAGATAAAGAAATGAAATGATCAATTTAACAAATATTTATCACTGGAACTCAGGTAGACAATGAGGTCTAATTTTTTTGTAACAGAATGCAGAATAAATTAGAAACTAAAAGCTGAGAAATGCAGTTGAAATATTACAACAGTCAAGACAAAAGTTTATAAATGCTGAATTAAGCTAATGACAGAGAGAACAAAGATTTGAAAGATTGAATCAACAAAGCCTGGATAAGGGGAATGAGGAAAATGAAAAGTCAAAGACCATGGATGCAATTTCTTTATATATATATATATATATATATATATATATATATATATATATATATATATATATTATTGATTTTTTTACAGAGAGGAAGGGAGAGAGATAGAGAGCTAGAAAGGTTGAGAGAGAAACATCGACCAGCTGCCTCCTGCACACTCCCAACCGGGGATGTGCCCGCAACCAATGTACATGCCCTTGACCGGAATCGAACCTGGGACCTTCCAGTCCGCAGACCGACGCTCTACCACTGAGCCAAACCGGTTTCGGCCATGGATGCAATTTCAAGTTTGATGACAAAAACAAAGAAAAGACACAGGTAGCCGAAACCGGTTTGGCTCCGTGGGTAGAGCGTCGGCTTGGGGACTGAAGGGTCCGGGTTCGATTCCGGTCAAGGGCATGTACCTTGGTTGCGGGCATATCCCCAGTAGAGGGTGTGCAAGAGGCAGCTGATCGATGACTCTCCCTCATCAATGTTTCTAACTCTCTATCTCTCTCCCTTCCTCTCTGTACAAAATCAATAAAATATATTTAAAAAAAAAAAAAAAAAAGACACAGGTAGAAGCACACTTCAAAGGAGAAATAATAGATTCTATTTTAATGATACAGTAAGCCTCTAGAGATCCAAGTCCTGCATCCTGCTCAGAATTTATTCCTAAATGCCTCTATAGTGTCTTATCTAATAGAGTAAATATGCTAATTGACCATCGTGCCCTCGCAAAGATGGCAGCGCCCAATCCCCTCAGTCCTGCCAGGGCAGCAGGTGTGCAGACAGCAGGGTCCACCCCCAGGTGGGTCCAGCTGTGCCATGCATCTGCCTCCAGAGTCCCCTAGTACCCTCAGTCCCCAGCCACCCAGGGCCAGCCCGAGGTGCAGGCAAGCCTCAGATGTTGGCTGCCAAGCCGTCCAGGGCCGCCTGAGGCTCAGGTAACTAGGGCCGGCCAAGGCTTGCTCTGCTGGCAGTGGCAGCAGCAGAGATGTGATGGAAGTATCACATCCCACCCCTGAGAGCTCCCAACTGTTAGAGGGGGAAGGCTGGGCTGACAGACAGCCCCCCCTCCAGTGCATGAATTTTCATGCACCAGGCTTCTAATAAAGTATAACAAGCATTACTCCATGTCATGAGAATTGGAGAACAGTCATTGAGAGGTATATGTTTGTTGATTGGCTAGGCTCATACTCCCTAAATGAATGAAGCCCAGTTAGCCTCTAACACACACAACTAAAATTTTTACCTTTTTAAGATCACATAATTACAAGTTATGGACTTTCAAAGACATTATCAAATTATAAAAATCATAAATGCTGAAAATCTATGCTGGAAACATTAAGCTCAGAAAAGGAAATGTACAGCTAAGGGAAAAGGTCAGGCAGAGTCTTGGATAACTCTACAAAGAGGTTCTGTAACACAATGCCATTAATAAAGATGGCCACAGACCCTTGTCCACACCCTAAACACCTGCCACAAATAAGAAAGCCTACTAAAAAACAGTACAATTAAGGAAAGAGTTAAGGACAGAGGACATATCCTCAATGAGCATTTAGAGGACAGGAAAAGAAAACAAAAAAAGACACACAGGAAGCAGTCAGGCAAACAGAAGTGGAATGGATATTATGACCAAAGAAAATATCAAGGAACACACAGTTAATAGTGATCAAGAGGATGAAGACTAGGGGAAGACGATAAGATTTAATCATTTAAAGATTTTTTGGACTGCTACATATCTCTCTGTAATTCTTTTTTTTTATATATATATTTTATTGATTTTTTCACAGAGAGGAAGAGAGAGGAATAGAGAGTTAGGAACATCAATGAGAAACACTTATCCGTTGCCTCCTGCATACCTCCTACTGCGGGTTGAGGGGTCCCAGGTTCGATTCCGGTCAAGGGCATGTACCTCAGTTGCGGGCACATCCCCAGTGGGAGGTGTGCAGGAGGCAGCTGATGGATGTTTTTCTCTCATCGATGTTTCTAACTCTCTATCCCACTCCTTTCCTCTCTATAAAAAATCAATAAAATATATTTTTTTAAAAACGTACAAAGTTATTGGTGACCTTGAAGACATCAGTTTTGGGAGAGTTTAAATGCAGAAGCCAAACCATTATATGAGAAATGTATACAAAGTGAAGAAACTGATTCATTTTTCTAGAAGGTTGCTGGTGAAGCAAAAAAGAGATAACAAAGTAGCTTAGGTGGGCGACACAATTCAGGGAAACTGTGTTGTTTTTATTTTATTTGAGATTTAAGACAAAGAGAAAATAACATACATAACAAGGGCAAATGAGATAGAATGAAACCAAGAGCATTAGTAGAGGAATTAGCCTCAGAGGAGGATGAATACTTTTCTCTGAGATTGATGCAACAGATGAGTGAACACAGAAATCCTGACATAAATAAGAGGAGAAAATCAGGTTACCTTGAACTCTATATTGAAGCATGAAATAAAGTCAATTGGACCAGGTAAATTGATTAAGGAAAGGATCTGAGCTTTAAATACATTTTTAAAGTTCCAAATAGGTACTGTGAAAAATATAAAAGACAAGGAAGATGGGAGAAATTACAGCAATAGGACAATGCTCAGGGGCCTGAAAGCAAGGGCAGAGATAGCCCGTGGTGCAGTCTGCTCAGGACTGGGTGGAGAACAAAAGGTGAAAGAACAAAAAGGGGGGGAATCCAAATGCTAGCATGTGCATCACTGAAACTATATAATAAGGAGTGGTGTCTCAGAAAAATACTTATTTAACTGATGGAAAGAGGTAGGAAACCTAATAGAAGTCTTAAAAGATTCAAAGATGAAGTCACTAGGTCTGGAGTGCAAAAGGAAAGTTGTCACTAGAGTTCATTACAGAACATTTTTCTGGAAATCCCACAAGATCAAAGACCACACAGTCTCCTTTCACTGAACTTCCTACAACTGCAAGTGGTAATTTCTCCCGATGAAACTGACCTTTAACCTCTACCTCTAACTACACCTACACTTGGATTAATAAATCATACAAACGCATCCTGTCCATTCAGAAACTCCATGGATATTTTTTCACTGCTTTCTGTGTTTTCCCATCAAAATGTTTTCAGCGGAAAACTCTTAGAAGGCAGAGCCCATAATCTACGAATTCCCTGTTCACAGCAACGGGCTTTGGGTTTGCACACACGCAAGTGTTTTTAAAAGTGCTTTCTCGTGAAATAGATCGTTACTGAGAACTTTAGAAACGATTCTGAACACACTCCTACAAGACTATAATGATGGCCAAATCAGAAAATGCTTAGGAATAACATCCCTTTTTATACTGGTCAAGAAAACCTCTAGGAAGTCGGGTAACGTTTACTACATAATATTGATTTTTCCCTATCTTATACTGTTTACCCCTCTAGTTAACTCCTTTAGTAAGCTTCTTCTGTGCAATCCATTTACTCCCAGCCCACATTCCAGCTTCCCTTCTTCCCATCCAGAGCCCCTGACCACAAACGCCCATAGGACCATTTTATCACCCTCCACTCCCCCATTTCCCATTCAACCCAGGGGCCATCACTTCATTTCTCCACTCCCCATTTTTCTGCCCCTCCAGATCTCCCATTCCTCCAGCGGAACGACTCAGTCCCCACCCCTCCAAAGAAGCCCCAGCCGGTCTTCCCGCCGAAGATCCCCTCCCCCACCTCTTCCATTCAGGCTCCCCCTCCATCCATCCCCACCCTAACCCCGGACCCCCGGCCCTCCCTACCTGCTCCTTGACCTCAGGCCCCGCGGGCCCGGTCCGCTCCTCCAGTCGCTGCCTCCCGGGCGGCGCTCGCCGGCGCGGGGGCAGGAGCTGGGGCAGCTCGGCCGCCCGCTGAGCCCCATCCTCCCCGCGGGCAGCCGGCGGGGGCGGCTGAGGCCGGTCGCGGCAGCGGCTCCGCTTCATCGCTGCGGCTGGGCCCCGCGGGCGTCAGCGCCGCGACAGCCCCGGCCCCGCACGTCTCCGGGCCGCAGCGCTGCCGCGCCAACCACCGCCCGCAGCCACCATGGCCCGGCGGGCGCCCGAAGCCACCGACCCCAGCTCGCAGCTCCTCTGCGCCTTCTGGGGCCTCTTCGGCGCTCCTCACGGAGAAGGCAGCATCGTCGCCGCCTCGTTTTCTCCCACCCGGCACGCGTTTATCCGGCCATCCGCAGGCGACGCCGCCGGCTCTACAGCCAGCTGCCCGCCCGCCTCCAGCCCGGCCCCGCCCCGCCCCGCCCCTCCCTTATCCTCCCCTCCCCTGGCGCGCGCGCACGGGGAGCCCGCCGGCCCGCCACCTCCGGCCGCGCGCGGCCTCCCGCGCACGCGCCAGCGAACGGCCGCGAGAGACCCGCCCGTGGCCCCTCTGTGTAGTGGGGAGAGCGGAAGGGGGTGGGGCTCCCAGCGGGCAACTGCGGCTGCAGACGCCCATTGATTCTTTCATTCATCCATTCATAAAAATGTGGGCTCGGCCAAGGTAAGTGGTAAGGATCCAAAAATGAGCTAGAACTGGCCAGTGCCTTCAAGGAACTATGGGGAGAGGGACCAAGAGCAGGAAGGAGTCAAAATGTACGACTGATTAATAAAATACTGATGCAATGCCTTTTTTCTTGAGAGCTTGCCACTGTCACCTGATCTTCACACTTTGGAGGCAGGTCTGCACATTCTCATGTTACAGATAAGAAGACTGAAGTGAAGTGGCACGTGCTCTGCAAATCAGTGAACAAATTAGACCGGACCCAAATTCTCTGGCTTTTATGACCCTTTCCACTATTTCCTGCTGCTTCCAGAAAATAAGAGACGGTGTGCAAAGTCCTATAAAAGAGGAAGAAGTAATGGATTCCTCTGGGGAAAGGGTGGACAAAAAGGCTTCCAGAATGATTCCCATGATTCCCCAGTGACAATGAAGTCATCATGTTATAACCCGTCCAGCCTGGCCACAGCCAGTCCATCTGTGGCCTGAGCAGCCTGGCCTGTCACGTCAGTGACTCATCTGCTCAGCAGCGTGGCTATAGATCAGCATTTTCTGGCATCCTGCTCTGGCTTCAGCTAGTCTGCCACAATGTTGTATTTTCCTTTCTTTTGACTTGACCATAGTTCTTTCCCTGAAGGCTGCACTTATTTTCCTGGATCTCCTCCCTGAACCCTTTCTGAAAAATAATAGCTACCATTATAGAGTGCCTATTGGACATCAATTCACACATATGCAAACAAGAAGTAAGTTGTACCTTGATACCCCAAGGCTGCAGGTTTAAGCCAGGTCAAAAACAGCCAATGAATACATAAATAAGTAGAACAATAAATCCACATTCTCTGTGTGTGTGTGTCTCCCTTTCTCTTCTTCTTCTCTCTTAAAAATAATTGAACTTTTTTTTTAAAAAAAAAAAAAGAGGTAAGTTGTGTTATTTCTAATTCACAATTGAGGAAACTGAGACACAAGTTACATAATATGCTAAATACAATACAGCTAGTAAGTTCAAGGCCAGGACTCAAAACAAGGTCTAATAGATACTGGAGCCTACACACACAATAGAATATATAGCAAAGGTGATGTGATATCACTCCATGATTAAATTACACGAGATTCTGTTTTTTTAGCAGACTCACTTTCACTCTACTAATGGCTTTGAAGAAGCAAGATATCATGTTCTGAACTGCCCATGGAGAGGGCCATGTGGCAGGAAATACCAGAGAATCTCTAGGAGTACGGGCAGCCTCTGGTTCAAGAGCTAGCAGCAAAGAAAAAAAAACAAAAAAAAAAAACGAAGTGCTACATCCTACAACCATAAAATTCACAACCTGAGTGAGCTTGGAAACAGATCCTTTTCCAGGTAAGAACATAGCTCAGCCATATCTACATTCCTGATCCACAGAAACTGGGAGATAAGTGTGTGTTATTTTAAGCTGATAAGTTTGTGCTAACGTATTACACAGAAATAGAAAACGGATATAACCGCCAGATACTCACCTTCTCATCATACCGCCTTACATCAGCCATGTGACACCATCTGGCCTGAATCCACTCTTAACTGGGCCTTCCTCAGTTTAATAAATGACAAGCCTTTTTTTTTGGGCTCAGGCCAAAACCTCAGAATGACCCTGAGTCTTCTCTTTCTCACGTCATATCCATTCCACTCATAAATCCTATGCAAATTAAGAGGATAGATAACCCAGGCAATGTGGCTCAATTGGATGGAGCTTCGTTCCAGTGCACAGGAAGGGACTTGGGTTCCATTCCCAGTCAGGGCCCGTACCCAGGTTGTGGGTTCCGTCCTTGATTAGGGTGCATACAAGAGGCAATCGATGGATGTTTCTCTCTCATACTGATGATTCTCTTTCTTCCTACTTCTCCCTCTCCCTCTCAAAAAAAAAAAAAAATTATATATATATATATATATATATATATATATATATATATATATATATATTTATAAATAATCTGGGAGAGAAGTGATGAAAGCAAGTACTACCAAAGTGATAGTAGTGATGGAAGAGAGTAAATGGATTTTAGAGAGGTTCAGAAAGTAAAAACAGGACCTGCTATCTGCATCTGGGTACAGAGAAAAGAAAAGACTTGAGAATGATTTACAAGTTTCTGTCTTGAGTAACTGAGATAGGGAGCAATGAAGAAGTCTGAAGAAGATGATGATTAGGTAATTGTTTTAGAAGTGTTTACTTTTAAGTGCCAAGTCTTCAATGAGCTATTGATTAAAGTGATGTAGAGCCGAAACCCGTTTGGCTCAGTGGTAGAGCGTCAGTCTGCTAACTGAAAGGTCCCGGGTTCGATTCTGGTCAAGGGCATGTACCTTGGTTGCGGGCACATCCCCGGTAGGGGGTGTGCAAGAGGCAGCTGGTCGATGTTTCTAGCTCTCTACCTCTCTGTAAAAAAATCAATAAAATATGTTTAAAGTGATGTAGAGCACAGAACTGAGAGCTACCAAATTTAGATGTGTAACTAATACACATATAACCTTAATCTTAGAGTATAAATATGATCATATCACTTTTTTCCCCTCTAGTCTGTCACTTGGGGCCCTGATGTCATATTATCAGAAAGCCTGGTATCTCCTTTATTATCTTAAAATTCCAAGGTTCTTGCCGAAACCAATTTGGCTCAGTGGATAGAGCGTAAGCCTTCAGTCTGAAAGGTCCCAGGTTTAATTCCAGGCAAGGGCATGTACCTTGGTTGTGGGCACATCCCCAGTAGGGAGTGTGCAGGAGGCAGCTGATCGATGTTTCTCTCTCATTGAGTTTATACCTCTCTATCTCTCTCTCTTCCTTTCCGTAAAAAATCAATAAAATATTTTTTTAATTCCAAGGTTCTTATATATTCTTTTTTTTTTTTTTTTTTTTTAAATATATTTTATTGATTTTTCACAGAGAGGAGGAGAGAGGGATAGAGAGTTAGAAACATCGATGAGAAAGAATCATCAATTAGCTGCCTCTTGCACACCCCCTACTGGGGATGTGCCCGCAACCACGGTATATGCCCTTGACCGGAATCGAACCCGGGACCTTTCAGTCCGCAGGCCGACGCTCTACCACTGAGCCAAACCGGTCCCGGCAAGGTTCTTATATATTCTAAAAGGTAAATGTGGCAGTTATCTAGTCTTATATAATAAAAGAGTAATATGCAAATTAACCATCACTCTGCTGCACCCACAAGTCATGCCCCCTAGCCAATTAGGAGCGAATATGCAAATAAACCCAACGAAGATGGCTACGGCCATAGAGAACAGGAGGGAGGCTTGGACTTCCCCAGTAATGGAGGAAGCCAAGCTTTCCACCTGCTCTTGCCTAGGAACCCACTCAAGGATACTAAGTTTCAATGATAGAAAATACATATATATAAAAAGAAATGGCAGCAGCGATTGAGCTGGAGAGAGGAGGAGGGAGGCTTGGGTTGCCCCCAGCAATGGAGGAAGCCAAGCTTTCTGCACATCCTGGCTGGCCCAGACCTCCGCTTAAAGCTACAAAGTTTCAATTATAGAAGATAAATAAATAGCAATAGAAATGGCTGCCACCACAGAGCAAGCAGAAGGCTTGGCTCTGCTCCAGGCTACAAAGTTTCAATTGTAGAAGATAAACCCCAGATACCAGGACCTCCACTTGGGTTGCCAGGGGGCGTGGCCACAGACCCCTCGCCCAGGCCACCTCACACCCCAAGGGAACCCCCACCCTGATCTGAAACATCCGTCAGGGAAAACTAGCCAGCCCCCACCTGTGCACCAGGCCTCTATCCTACCTAATAAAAGAGTAATATGCAAATTGACTGTCACTCTAACACACAAGATGGCTGACCCCATGTGGTCAAAGATCCTGCCTCCATGTAGACACAAGATGGCCACCACAAGATAGCTAGCAGGGGAGGGCAAGTTGGGAGGGACCAGGCCTGCAAGGGAGGGCAGTTGGGGGTGATCAAGCCTGCAGGGTAGGGCAGCTAGGGGTGACCAAGCTGGAAGAGAGAAGTTAGGGGTAACCAGGTCTGCAGTGGAGAGCAGTTGGGAGGGACCAGACCTGCAGGGGAGGGCAGTAAGGGGTGACCAGGCCTGCAGGGAAGGGCAGTAAAGGGCAAACAGGCTGGCAGGGGAGCAGTTAGGCATCAATCAGGCTGGCAGGGGAGTGGTTAGGGGGTGATCAGGCTGGCAGGCAGAAGTGATTAGGGCAATCAGGAAGGCAGGCAGGCAAGCAGTTGGGAGCCAGCATTCCTGGATTGTGAAAGGGATGTCCAACTGCCCATTTATGCCTGATCCCGGTGGAATTGGGCCTAAATGGGCAGTTGGACATCCCTTGAGGGGCTCCAGATTGGAGAGGGTGCAGGCTGGGCTGAGGGACACCCCCCTCCCCGTGCATGAATTTTGTGCATCAGGCCTCTAGTGTTATATAACAAAACCACCTAAAATTTATGACTTAAAACAACAATCATTTATTTGGCATAAAATTCTGTGGGCCAACTAGACAATTTTTGCTTGCTAATTCTCCTAATCGAGAATACTCTTAGTGTTTTTAGTGGATTGGAGAATGTACACACCCTCTTGGAGAAGGTTGCTTTCAGTAATACTAACATGCTCTTTTATGAAAGACTCCCAATATTATTCAAAGGAGCCCACTCCTCTAAGAGTCAGCTTTAAGGATTCCTTGTTATAATTATAGCAAAAACAAATACGTGTCTCCCAATATCCATTCTCCCTTTTATCATTGGATACATGGCCACCTATCATAAAAACAATTTCCCAACCTTTTTTATGTCTAAGTAGAGCCATGTGACTAAGCTCTTACCAATGAGATATGAGCATAAGTGATGAGTCACAACTCTCTTTTTTTAAAATATATTTTATTGATTTTTTACAGAGAGGAAGGGAGAGGGATAGAGAGCTAGAAACATCGATCAGCTGCCTCCTGCACACCTCCCACTGGGGATGTGCCCGCAACCAA